TAATACCAATATCAAGTTTCATTATAGTTTGAGGCCTTAAACGAATTGTTTTCGATTAAAACTACTGATTTAAGATGACTTAGAGTGATTTACCTGATTTAAATTGAGTTAAACTGATTTATCTGATTTAAAATGAGTTAGACTGATTTATCTGATTTCATTTTGACTTTTAGCTGATTTAAATCCGCTGTTTCCCCCTTGATTTAACCCGAACGCGGTGTTATTGCTAGCCCAATGGAAACTAGTTTGATTAAAATATGATTGTTCTGTAGCACAATTCGGATTATCAATCGATTGACAATGTGGATTTTATTGGAAAACAATCCAATTTCAATCAAACTAATTTCCACCGCGCTAGCAATAACATTAAAGTTGGGTTGAATGATGGTCGATTAAAATCAAAATTATCAATCGGATTGCGGATTGGATTTTGTTGCACAATAATTTGATTGAAATCAGCGAGTGTTTTTCACTGGGCAGGTGTTGATAATCAAATTATTAAAATGAGTCACAAACATATTTTACGAAAAGCTAAGAAATTATTGACCTATTTGATTATTTTCTTTAGATAAATATCAATTAAATGGATATTATTCCCATCGCTAATAGTCATCTCTCTGACAACAACAGTCATAGTGATAATAATTTAAGCACGAATGGGCACTCTTTCAACGATACTTCTAATTTGTCTTATGATCAGAGACAATCTCAAGCAAAGTAGTCTATCTCTTCTTCTTCAATTTTCTATTTTAATTCTAAAACAATATTCATTAGTAAAAAATTAAAATGGTACCAACATCAAACTTCTATTCGAATGTGTTCAGCTTTGTGGTTCACAATCATACTGGCGACCATTGGAATAATCATAACTTGTCTTGCACAACCAGATAACACACGTAGATATTTATTTAATTTGAGGGTTTAGAAATACACTGATCTATCTCACACATGCACTAAAAATAATTGAAACTTCAAAGAAAGATTCCTTAGAATAATATATATCATTGAATTCGAAACCATTTAGTACGGTGATCTATCTGAAATGATCGATCACTGAATCGATAGATTGATGAAAGTTTAAATTCTAATTGTGCTTCAATCTAATTTATTTTACTATGTTTAGATTTAATATGTGACAGAACATTCGTACCAAACATAAAACGTGTATTCACCTATGATTCACGTCCACGATATGTAGCCGTTGCTGATTTCAATAATGACAATCATTTGGATCTTGCAGTTGTCAATAGCATTGCTGGCAATATTGCTATTCTTTTGGGTGATGGAAATGGAACTTTTTCTCGGCAGTACACCAACTGGATCAGTGATCAATCTGCTCCATATTGGATTGGTGTTGGAGATTTCAATAACGATACGCTACTTGATATTGCCGTTGCAAATTATGGCAGTCATAATATAGATATACTCCAGGGGTATGGTAATGGAACTTTTTCGATTGAATTCACCGTGGAATTGGGTCCATCTCGTCCTATATTACTAGCAGTTGGTGATTTCAATCAAGACAATATATTGGATATTGCTGTAGCTAGTAATGGGACTCTGAATCTATCCATATTGATTGGTTCTGGCGATTTCTTCTTTGCAATACAAAGAAATTATTATCTCGGTTATGATTCGATGCCATATTCAATTGATGTTGCTGATTTGAATTATGATAACCAAGCAGATATTATGATTGTTGATTATGGTACTAGTAACTTAATTATACTTTTGGCTACTGGAGATGGTGAATTTTCGATTCAGAGATATTCAACAGGAGAAAATTCTTATCCATGTTCAGTTGCTTTGGGAGACTTTGATAGTGACGATTTCATTGATGCTGCTGTTGTTTACACAACTATTGACAACATTTGCATATTTCAAGGATCTAAAAATGGAACATTTCAAGCTACAAAACAATTTCTTTTTGGTTCTAGTTTCAGTCCCAAGTTTATTGTTGCTGGTAGTTTAAATACGGATGGTAAGCTTGATTTAATCGTTGTCGATTCAGGAACTAGCAGTGCTATTGTATACGAAGGATCTGGCGATGGAACTTTTGTTGCTAAAGCAAATCATTCAACTGGAGCTAATTCTAATCCATATTCTATTGCCGTTGGTGATTTCAATCATGATAATAAATCAGATGTTGTTGTTGCTAATCATGACATTAATTCTATTTTAGTACTCAGCTCATACACTATTTCTCTTATTGCAAATATAACGAGTTTGACTCCTGATCCAGAGTTTCAGCCGATTTCTATGGTTATCTATGACATCAATAATGATCAGAATCCAGATATTGTGGTTGCCGATGAGTCATTGAACAGCGTGTTCAGTTTTCTGGACCAGAGTAGTGGAACGTTTAACATTCAAGTAGCTCTTTCTACAAGAGGGCAAGAAAGTGGACCATATTTGATTGTTGTTGGTGATTTCAACAATGACATGTATGCTGATATTGTTATCAATTTGTTCAACACAAATGTACTGTTGTTATATTTGGGACGAAAAAACGATAGTTTTGTAAAACAATATGTAGTGACAATTGCAGACAATTGGATTTTACACTCAATGATAGACGGTGACTTTAATGGCGATGGAAATCTCGATGTAGTGGTAGCTAATGAGGATGATGGATATCTAGCTATTTTGCTTGGAAACGGTAATGGAACGTTCGCAGGACCATTTTATTCCGCGCCTATATTTTCTTATCAAATATCGATCTATGCGGCTGATTTCAATGCAGATAATGTCTTGGACTTGGCCATTGCTAATTCTGATATCTATACTCTTGTCATATCATTAGGCTATGGTGATGGGAGTTTTCGAGATCCGACGTTTCTTTCGCCCGAAAATTATTATTCAGCAGGTTTTGCTATTGGAAATTTTGACAAGGATACAATTCTAGACATCGTTGCCACTATTCCAGATATTTTAGCAATAGGTGTTTTTTTAGGAGAAACCAATGGTACTTTTGGAACAATGACTATCTATTTTGCTAGTACTGACAGTAATCCGCGATATATTGCTTTAGGTGATTTTAACAAAGACACCAAAATTGATATTGCAGTTTTAATACCGGATATCCCTAGTATAGTAGTATTTTATGGGACAGGTGAGGGAACTTTTCCTAAAAATAGTACTTTAAATCTTGAAGATGCCTCTGATTCCAATTCAATGGGCACCGGTGATTTCAACAATGACGGTCAAGTTGATCTTGTAACCGGAAATCCTGGCAGTAATGATTTAAGTATACTTCTCTTACAATACAAACCTGATTTCATAAATGAAATTACTTACTCACAAGGATCAGGTGCACACCCATCAGCAGTTACTGTTGGAGATTTTAACAATGATCTTCAGCTGGATATTGTTGTTACAAATAGTGGAAATAATGAAGTAAGAATACTAATGGGCTATAATGGTGGTTCTTTTATGACGACAGCTACTTATTCAACGGGTGAAAACTCGCATCCACAACAAGTAGTTGTTGCTAATTTTAATAAGGATAATCAACTAGATATCGCTGTCGTAAATTCGTGGAGTAATGCTCTAAAAGTATTTCTTATTTCCAATAATGGTACAACTGCCAACTCTACAGAGTATTCTACTGGATCGAAATCTACTCCGAACTCACTTGCCGTTGGTGATTTTAACAAGGATGGTTGGACAGATATTGTTGTCGCTAACACGGGGTCAAGTAACATTGGTATATTTCTTGGATATGATTATCCAACATTCAACAGTCAAATCATACGTATAAAACAGCGTACTTCCTATCCAACATACGTTGTTGTAGGTGATTTCGATAGAGATTCTCAGTGGGATATTGCAGTTACGTGTTTCAAAAAGAACAGCGTATCGGTGTTTTTAGGACTAGGAAATGGCACATTTGAAAGTGAAATATCAAACCTACTACCAAAATCATCGTATCCTACGGCAATGGTTGTTGGCGATTTCAATAATGATAATCAATCGGATATCGTTGTTGTTAATTCACAAGGTAAAACTATAAGTGCACTGCTTGGATATGGTAATGGAACATTCGCTAAAGACATTTCAACGTCTACTGGTAACTCATCACCAGTGTTCATTGCAATGGGCGATTTTAACAAAGATAATAAACTAGATATTGCTGTCGCATTTCAAAAAGATGACAATGTTGGTGTATTTATGGGGTACGGTAATGGATCATTTTCACAACAAATAGTATATAAATTGTCAAAGGGATCTTCTCCAGTATGGCTAATTGTTCATGATTTCAACGAAGATAATGTGCAAGACATGGCTGTTGCCAACTCCGGCGGAAATAATATCGGTATATTTCTAGGATATGGTGATGGTACGTTTAGAAATGCGAGTCTATATTCAACCGGAAATAATTCAGCTCCTTGTTCGATAGCCATAGGAGACTTTAACGGAGATAATCGAATGGATATCGCTGTAGCAAATGTGAAAGGCGGAAATATTGTTATACTTTTTGGATACAATAATGAAACATTTATGTTAGAAGTTGCATATGGGATAGAACCTGGAACTGTATTAACGTCGATTGTTGTCGATGATGTGAATGATGACACAATTCTTGATATTATCATATCGGCTCAGGGAAGCGGAAGTAATAATATTGGTGTATTCTATGGATTAAATAATGGAACATTTTTAATACCACAATCCTATTCAACTGGTGTTACTGCAACTGCTTTATCAATTGCAATTGCTGATTTTGATAACGATGGTCGTAAAGATTTTGTGACCAGTAACTCGAACAACAACAGTATAAGTATTATGCTCCGATATAAAAGTGAACCTTTCGGAACACAATCAACGATTTTCACGGGTGATAATTCTCAGCCGTATTCAGTTGTGGTTAGTGATTTTGACAATAATGGTGAACTTGATATTGCTGTGGCAAACTCTCAGGCAAATAATATTGGTATTTTTCTTGGAAACGGAGACGGAACCTTCATAGATCAATATATTATTGATAGTGAGCTTATTTCAGTTCCTGTATTCATCGCTATTGGAGAATTTAATAATGATGAAAAAGTTGACATGGTTATCGCTAATGCCAACAAAAATAATATATGTATTCTTAAAGGATATGGAAATGGAAACTTTACAATTGTCCAATGTTATTCAACAGGACTAGGCTCTGAACCCTCATCTGTTTCTGTTGGAGATTTCAATAAAAATAATCAAACAGATCTTGTCGTTACTAACAAAGGCATCAATACCGTACTAGTATTCTATGGCATAGGTAATGGAACATTTGCAAAGTCAAACTCGTATTCTCTTGGTTATAATTCTCGTCCTGTATCGGCTGCTATTGGAGATTTCGACAATGATGGTTGGTTGGATATTGTTGTTACAAATGATGACTGGGGTTATGTAGACGTTCTCTTGCAGACTTGTTAACCCTTCCCAGTCAGCTTCCAGAAGCGACATAGTTAAAACTCTTCTTTTGTATAAATGTTCTTATCCTGCCTTAGAGATAGCAAAAACCTATTTCTTAAAATTGAACGGTGCTTCTATGTTGAATGGCTGTATGTTGCCATTTGACAACAGCTGGTCGTAAAGGGTCAAAACTTTGAAAAATTCATTTGCCGTTTTCGATCATCGAAATTCACTATTTTGCGCTCCTTTCATTTAATTATTCAAGAAAAAAGCGTAAAAAATATATATGATACGCCTGCACAGTTTCTTCGCGATTCAAATCGACTTTTGTACGAACAATTTGACATACGTTGAACTCAAGGAGGGAGTAGATGCATGGGCTTTCGTGTTAGTTGGCATCAGGATAGGTATTCTTGTAGATCTATTATTTCTCTACACTCGTGCCGATACGTAAATTAAATATTCATTTCCATACCAGTTATTGAGAGCTACACTACTATCATGCTGGCTTTTTTTCATAGAAAATTCCATTTAAAGCTAGGAAAAACTATGTAAGTGCATCAGATATGTTTTGTATGCTTTGTTCTTATATGAATAAATGAAAAAAACACAAAATAACGAATAACGATGATCGAAAACGAAAAATGATTTTTCAAAAATTTTCATCCCTCACGGCCGGCTGTTGCCATTTGGTAACATCCATACCTCTTATTGTCAGTACTCGTTAAATCATCTCTTTGAGTGATACAATATACAATAGATCAAGGAGAGGGAATTTACCACTAGTGACCTGTGGGATTGAATGCTTGAGGGTACCATAAGAACATCTATTATGATTCAGTTGTTCTTTAGAAGTATTCAGAAGGGCTCCAGCAATTTTCTCAGCTGAACGCTTTTGTTTTGTTTCATGGGCTATGAATGTGTTCTACAATATCTGGTAGTAATTATTGAACTATTGATTCATTATCTGTCCACACTATAGCTAGATCTTTCTTAAAATATCGGCACAATGTTGCCAAATGACAACATCCGGCTGTAAAGGGTTAATTACATTTTTATTATTATACACAGTGGCGGATCCACCAGTTAGGCTACCCGACCATCGCTACCCCCTGAGGATAGAATACCGGCGAAATTTTTTGAAATGTTTCTATGATTCAACGCATGATATAATAGATATTGCAATATGATATTTAATCAAGCGATGACAGTTTTGATCGTGAAAATAAGGTACAGAATATGTAATAAAATAAAGCTCTCTGAGTGAATGACTAATAGCAAGAAGTAGAATAACAGGATTAATCATAAATATCATCCATTGACAATTGATCAAATACACTTGAATATTGAAACGTAACCATCAAAAGCTTATGTGAACAAAAAACCTTGATAAAACCTCAATTTTACTAGGATAATCTAATTGTGTAGCCAGGGATATTGAAAACTTTACGGGAAATATCTGATTTTTTCAATATAATTTGACCGAAATATCTAAAGTATGTAGTAATGACATGTAAATATTTCGGAATCCCTAATCCACTCTCCCCCGACGACTCCCCGGGGAGCCCCTGTCGTGAGTTCCCGGGGACTTTTTATTTGGAGGATTCCCCGGAGATTTCTCTGGGGAGAATTGATGAAATTTTTTTAAATAAAAAAAAACTTCTTAATTTTTTTAAATTTTAAAAAATTTAGAAGAATTCATTAGTAGTTAGATATTTCATCGGTTTTGGCCAGATAACTCCCCGGGGAGTTCCCAGGGATGCCTGCTTTATAGTAACAAATGAATACCATATTCTAGATTGAAATGTATCCTTTTATTAATAAGTTTTTCAAAAAACCAGTAGTCTCAATTTGCAACAATCACCAGCAAGAAGCAAATGAAAAGACATCACTTCATAGTGATATACTATATAAAACGAAATAAAGAATTCGATGGATTAAGCACACATTTTTAAATACTTCACGAAAATTCATACTAGCTTGTTTGAAAACAATTTAGAAATCGCCACCCCCTCTCGAAAATCCTGGATCCGCCACTGATTGTACATATATTGAAATTTATCAACATTCTAAATAAATTAAACGTAAAATTGAAAGATATCCTTCTTATCATTTCTTCAAAATATAAAAATAGTCATTGCTATAATTATCAAAAGAAATATTTAAAGAAATCATTAGTGCTAATAGTTTGAAGTTAAAATGTGACAAGCTATGAAACTAGTTTCTAAAAATATTTTGTCACCAATTCTGTAGGAAGGAAGGGTATGAGAATGAAAGTCTCTATTTCGAAAAAAAAATATAATCATTTATAATTGTTGTTTGTTTTCTGATATTGGTTTGAATCGTTTTTTTGTTAGAAAAACGTGTCTGGTTTATAGAAAAGATATTAAGTCGATTTCACCGTGTGCAATAGTAAATATTAATTGACATGGCGAATATTATATCCTTATGGACTGTGAATGCTAACGAGTTTTAAATTGAACTTCGACATGTATACATAGTAAATAAGATCCTTGCTTTATCTACAATATATACGTATATATAATTTACTATTCATCAATTTCATTTTTAATTTTGTACAAAAATTTTAATCGGAAGAGGAATACATTCAAGTCAGTATTAGTACTCTGATTATATCAGTCATGGTATATATTAGTTTTATCAAAACTAACGTTTTCCTTCTGTTTGCTGTAGTTTTATCATGCTTCTATAGATTTCTCTAATATATGATATAAAACATCATATGTAGGTTTGTTTTAACGTAGTGCAGTATCAGATCCTATTTGAAATTGTGTTGACAATAGCGAGTTAACCCTAATAAAAATACTCTCTCGCTATCGCCATTATTGTTTACATAATCAAACTTGTCAACTAAAAAGCAATAGTCAATGCAAGTAGAACCTTTAGATTAAAAAAAAGATACAAATAGTAAAAGTCAACAAGTATAAATGGCGTGAATGAAGACGTTATTTTAGTGCAAGTATGCTTTATACAATGCTTTTCTCTAATCAATCGTTAAAGTGAACACCAGTAAATCAGATTATTTTCAAATGATTACGATTGGATTCTTCATTGTAATAGAATGACATTTTATTCTCTCGTAAGATTACAACGAACTTCATCCTACTGAAAATCATACGACAACCGACAAAAAAACTACAGAATAGCGGTGTAAAACGCCTCACCAGGAAGTATAAGTAAGGGGATACAGTATTGTGTTAATCCGAATTTTAGGAGTTCCTCGCAGCTAGTATCTATAAGAAAAGCGGAAGTTGAAACTTTTGTCTAATTATGAAATATAAACTAGGGTTGGGTCAGAGCCCTTGAAGTTCACTTTATTCTTTTGAAAACAATTTTGTTTTACGTATGTTTATAAAGAGCGAATGTTGAAATATTTATGTTAACGAGTATCGTTGTGAATCATCATCATCGGACGAATTATAAAAATCTTAGATTTGTTTCGAATCTGTAGCTAAGTTCTTGTGTTCGGCCGATGGCATATGACGCTGTTGTGTTTGCCATCGTTGATGAGAAAGAAACAAAATAACTGAAGCTATATGACTGCAATAGCCGAGAAATCGTGCACCAGCGAAGCAATCGCTCCACCAGCCTAGAATTGCTTGATAAGTAACTCGATTACTATGTGCGAGTTGAGTAGGAATACGGATCAAATTGGGAATAATTTTCCATCGGTGTACACTGTAAGCTACGTCACTGGTTAAATTGGTAGTTGAGCAGCGCTCTTCAGTATAAGAACTTGTTCGTTTCACTTGAAAGACACGTGTAAAAATAGATAGTTGAGAGAAATTAAATGAAGATCTATTACCGAAAGTGAGATCTCCTAGATCGTCTTGTGTCATAATAAGAAAATCGTCTATGATTTCTGTACGATTAATTATTTCCCAATAGAGAAAGTCGCCTGATTATATTATTTTCTTCTAGGAGCTAAATAAGGACATACACAAGTTGCAGGGAAAATAATGTTAAAAATAATTATGAGTTGAATTTTATTGTTTTGCTGGCGTAATTGCATTACTTGTAGACTTATCTCTTCATCTTCCCGTTTAGATCTTGTCATAGGTGGTTGATAATGATTGATGCGAGCGCAAACAATTGACGTCAGATTCTAAGTACACTAGAGACGAGTTTTGAATGGTATTCGCGAAGTACTTAAATTGTTTGAGACAACGGTTAGCGACTTCCACGACCCAGCGTATTTTTGTGATGCATCTTGATTCATTAGCTTCTTCAGCTGAAAATTGACGTCTGCCATCGAGAAATGATGGTATAGTAGCCTCCAACCCAAGAGCTTCCATGACACAGATAGAGTCTCTAAACCCTCTATCAACCGCCAGTATGTCATGCTAAAGAAGAAAATTATATTAAGGTTTTCATTAGAAAAATATTACTTCTTTTAGCCAACTTAAAATGTTACTGGTATTGCGAAGTAAAATATCTTTCGTTATCCCAGCATCGTTGTTGTTAAAATTAAACATAAAAGATCCAATACAAGCCACGACATAACCTATAGTTGTTATAATCATCATTGACTTTAATAAGGATCTTTTCTTACATAAGTTAAAAGTCTTCCTTTCAAATTTATTATTTCGAGATTTCTAAAGAGTAACATAAAATAAATTCATTACAGAAAGCAATTATTTCACCTGAATATGAAGATGCGTTCTATCAATAATAATTATTGTTGTATCAGTACTGTCACCACCACACATTAGTTCTCGAGCGATTGCTGTGGTATGGCGACCGATAACATATTGATGAGTAACATATCCAAAACCTAAATTATCTGACACAAAACTCTTTACAATAGCTTGACGTGCAATATTTATAATTCGAGACACTGTTCGTTTGTGTGCTATTTGAAATACCAAGACGAAGTTTACATAAATAAATGCCGACCGCAGTTCTTATCGATCGACTGCACGAGGGGCGAATAGTAGATGAAGAAGTGATTTGAACAAAATCATTAAAGTTATCTCTTGAGACTCGAGTTAATAAACGATATTCATCATCATTAAGATCTCTTGGATCATCGAAACTAAATATTTTCTTGCCATTTTCAACAAAGTTCTGAGCTTTATTTAAAAGGAGTTGAACATCCGATGAGCTTAATTCTTGATATCGTATTGAGAAAGGTTTAATCTGATCAACAGCTTCTTTCAATAATAGTTGATTAATTAAATGACCTGAGCAACATCGTGCTCCTTCTGGTATCCAAATATTGCGTGAAAAAAATATAAAATCTCTATTCTGAGATGTAATTTTCGCCGCATGATCACGAAGGTTTTCAACACAAACACAGCATTTCCTAGTGAAAATACATTACACATCTGTTCTCTTCATTAAAAAATTTTTTCTTACGTATGGAAAGAGGAAGCCTCATTTAGCTGTAACTTAACTACTTGTTGGTTTGTAGTTGTAATCAAAGTTGGATTTTCCTCGGTTGTTAAACGAGGCGAATCATCAGTTTGAACCTGAACGTTCATAAGCTCATACTTAAAAACAAAAAATCAACACAAATACAATCATATAAAAGCAAATTATCGAACCACTATTCGCATCACCATCGATCATACCATATCATTTTTGAAATGATCAAGGATTGAAGATAATTCTGAATTTTCATTTTTCCATTTGATGTATAAATGTCGGCAAGCATTGCACACATTTTGATCGTTAGAAAGCGATTTAAGAGTATACGAATCGACATAAATATTTTGAGGCATGGTGATTTCAGTGGTCGGACACAAGAACTGCGATCTAGACGAGCACCACGCGGATAAAAATGTTCATTTATTATAACCGTTTGCGAATTAAACGTTCACAATAGGGATAGACACTAAGACAGTGACCTTAGATGAAGTGTCTGCCTTAATTCTCGATTAGTTCATATATGACCGGATCACTAAACATTATTATACGTATAATGAAATGCATCATGAATTTTTTTTTCTTTCTACCATGTATGACTCAATTAGTAGAGCGAAACACTTTACAGCCAATAGCACATGTATATCGTAAAAAAGTAATGTTTCCAACAGATGTCTTTCAATTGAAAAAATACGTATACTGCATGAAAAGATAAATCCCTTTATTCATCTATGCTACTAACAACAATATAGGTAAATATAAATTATAATATCGAACCAACGACAAAGAAACGCCGAACACAAAATTCACACAAAAAAAGTGGAACCGCCTTTCTGCATACTTTTCGTATATTTTTTATCATCGTTTGCTAGATCTCGAAATTCTCTATCGAATGATATATAAATACGAGTGGACCGACATTATTACCTGAGTCTCTCGCGAGAAATATCATCATCGGTATTCACCTTTACTAAACCTTTTGTATGATATGTCGATGGTGTCAAATTGAATTCAGTAGGTTTTCTCATATGTTGTCATACCATCAGAGAGAGCGTGAAAAGGGCTACAATCCGACCGGTAAATTAAAATAAGTATGAACTATGATAACCGAAATATTTTATTAAAATGATCGGCTCCCCAAAGAAAATGCAGTGGATTTTAGTACGATAGAAAAAGTAATGCAGATGATGTCTAGATTCGTTATAATGATTAAATGTGGCTTAAAGTGTCGATGTAGCGTCAAACTAGCATAATCAAAACGGAAAAGTCGTGTTTGGACAGGGGGCCGATTTCGGCTGTAACGTCTCCCGTCTATTGACTCTCTGATCGCATGATGAACTTTGTATTTCTCTCGGGGCAACCAGTTGATGATTCGATGGAAACATCAAATATTTTTTGAAAGCGTCGTGTAAAAATACCAGTTATTTAAGTTTATCCCGGTAGATTCTTCAGAATCATGAATATTGATTTGCGTCGTCAATAACGATTCACCGGTCTAAATATCTAGAGAACACTTCTGCACCGAGGAGAAGAGGTTGACTGTTGGATCATGATGTGGATCGCATCGTCAATGGGTATTTACTTCTTATTTTTCAACAATGGGGACATGGGTGAGAGTGTGCTGGGGATTGGGGCGAATTGTTTTGTATGATGGGAGACGAGGGGGAAGACTGACGATGGATAAAATTAGGGGTGTGGGGTGTGGGTACGGTTATCTTTAATTCTCAAGTTTTAGCTCTACTGATAATGGTCACAGCTAAATATATATATATATATGGATATCTGCGAATTCAACCCAGGATGATTAATAATAATGTCGGATATTTATTTTACGTATACATACTAAGATATATCTACATCAGATTTGATGATGCTTATTCACCATTTTAAAGAGAACATCTAGTAATTGATTTCTGATCAAGTAAGATAATTAATTTTTTGTTGCTATATTCAACATCTCTCTTAGTAATCATAATAGAATTTGCAACAATATATTACATTTGTTAGTGGTAAATTTAATCATTTTTTTTTCTATTTTCTTTCACGAACGCATGCTCTGCTAAGTGACCTTCAAAAACAAAATGTTTCATATGAAACGAGCGCAATTACAGCGATGCACGGTATAGTTATCGTAGCAAACGTATCAAATGTCATTTGATCGCATTGATTTCATCAATTTGTCAATCAAGAATGCGGATTAGAAAAGCATTTAAATGTTTATTGTATTTTCATCAATAATCATTTTTGATGCAAATGAAAGTGGTGAGCCTTAGGAACATTGCAAGTTTTTTTTTTTATTTCTATTCATATTTTTCTAGTTCAAGTACATCATATTTTGCCTGGCACTAACTATTCGACTTTGCCATGCAAGATTCCGAATAGAGAGTGAATGGTCAGATGGCTTTGAAGGAACATTAGAAATTCCGATTAAGTCAGAAATCAATAATGGTTGGAAAGTCGAGCTGCGATTTGATCAGCCGACGATGATCGATGTATGTGAGATCGATTGTATTGTTCTATATTATTTGTAGTGAAGACTGTATTCATAATGTCCATTAGGCATGGCTTGGCAATCTTCATTCGAAAATCGATGATCGAATCTTTTTGTTTATCAATAAAAATTGGAACGCACACTTGCCACTTAATTCGTTGTTCGAATTTAAATTTGTGGCGAAAGGTGGTATAGCACCTAGTAACTTTGTAGCTGCTTGGTTTAATGAAGAACTGATTCTTAGCGACTCAACTAGTACCACTCATGTTTCAGAAGTTTTAAATCCTACTGGAAATACAACAGCAGGGCTCAATGGTAACAGTGTTTCGACTAAAGGCACATATGATTATGGAGTAGTACTTCGTAATTCACTTCTTTTCTACGAAGCTCAACGAGCCGGCAAACTTCCATCGAATAATCGTATTAACTGGCGAGGGGATTCAATGTTGATGGACAAAGGAAACGATGGTGAAGATTTGACCGGTGGTTATTTTGATGCTGGTGATTATGTTAAATTCGGTTTCCCCATGGCAGGATTTACGACAGTGTTAGCATGGGGTGCCATTGAATATGAAGATGCATATCGACAATCAGGTCAACTTGATTATGTTCGACAGGCTATCCGATGGGCCACTGATTATTTTATCAAGGTCAGTTTAAAACATAGCTGGGAAAAAGTTTCCTCTTTTCAATAATTCTTTAATATCTTGTTATGGATCTATAGATTCATGCCATGATATGCTTTACTCTTTCGCAAAATAATAACATAATCTTAGTATGTCATTGAAGAACACTTGATATTAGGTTACACAAAAGCATCTTTCTATATGGACACTTTGAGATTCAAGAGAAGTAACAGTTGTCTTATAGAAGAATCTAAACTGTTAAAGTTTGGAAACCTATTTGTTATTCTATTGATTCATGTTTATCTATCAGATAATCCTGAATAGGACTGCATTTGTGTACTATGATATTGCGATTTTACCTTTGATAGTTCATGATTTTTGAAAACCGACCATTTAGCAGTTTACACATAATTCTTAATTATCTTTCATCAATCAAGTAAAAATGTTCCAAATTTTATGGCACTAGTTTTACTATATCGCTATATAGCCGAATTCAGCATTTATAAGTCATCATATTTCTCGATACATAGGCACATGTAAGCCAATATGAGTTCTACGGACAAGTCGGCGATGGACATGAAGATCATGCATATTGGTCACGACCAGAAGATTGGACGAAACCACGACCTGCATGGAAAATTACGCAGCAAAATCCTGGTTCCGAGTTGGCGGCTGAGACTGCAGCTGCTTTGACTGCTGCTTCATTAGTCTTTCGCTCGGTTGATTCCAATTATACATCAACTCTATTAGGTCATGCTCGACAATTGTACGATTTTGCCAATCGGTATCGTGGCAAATATTCTGATTCGATTCCCAACATATCCGATTTCTATCATTCATGGACAGGTTATGGAGATGAATTGGGCTGGAGTGCTGCTTGGCTTCTACGTGCAACTGGTGATCAGCACTATCAAGTAGATGTTGACAAACACTATATCGAATTCGGTCTCAATAGACAACCTCACGAATTCAGCTGGGACGATAAAACAGCAGGCCTTCAAATACTTATGGCTAAAATTACAAGACAACAAAGCTATCGACAACAGGCTGAGAATTTTTGCAATTACGTTGTAAGACAAGCTCCTAAGACACCAAAAGGTCTCGTCTTTCTCGCTCCATGGGGTTCGCTTCGACATGTCAGCAATGTTGCTTTTCTTTGTCTACAGGTAACAATAAAAAATAATCAGCAAGCGATTTTTCAAAGGTAAATATATTATACACTTTCTACTACATTCAATAGGCTGCCGGAATTGACATTAATCGTCAAGAATATTTGAATTTTGCTACGCAACAAATTAATTATATACTAGGCGATTCAGGTCGATCATATGTTGTCGGCTTTGGTAATAATTATCCTCAACGACCTCATCATGCATCTAGGTAATTTGAGTTTGCTCAAGTTGAAGTAAGGATCTACTTATTTTTATTTAGCTCATGCCCGAATCGACCAGCCATATGTGATTGGAGTGCATTTTCTAGTCCTAATCCTAATCCACAATTATTGATAGGTGCTTTGGTAGGTGGACCGGATCAGAACGATTACTATGAAGATCGACGAGATGATTATGTGAAGAATGAAGTCACCACTGACTACAATGCAGGATTCCAGTCAGCTGTCGCTGGTTTATTATATCATCAGGTTAAAGTATGAGATTATGTGTGTGTACCAGAGAAATTTCAATCCTGAAAATATTAATTAAATTTAAGACGAGCACAGCTTATTCTGAAATTTTCGATTAAATAAAAAATGAGTGTTCGGAAAGAAAATTTATTTATCACTACAAATAATATTATGAATGAGATAATGAAAATTAGTCATAGTCAATTCCGTACCCTGATAATCTGCCGTACCGTAGCGCTTATAATATTCATGCTTTTTATGATCTCGTTCTGGTTTATAAAAGCCGTTTAATCTGTTATTGAATTTACCTTGATTTCGAAGAATAAGCAGCATATTAGTAATGAAAATAATATCAAAGAATTATATTTAAAATAAACTACATACAATTGTGAATTTTCGAGTATTTTATAACGAAATAATGTTCATAATCACCTAGTAATATCAACGAAAAAGAGTGTGTGATATACGTGTAAGACTGCAGAATCATCATTAATATTTTCGCTTTATCATTTTCTTTCATTCTTCGTCTTGTTACCCCGGCTTTATTATTAGTGGTCTTCAAATAGATTGAAAACTATGAGTAACCGTACTAAGAAACACTCACAGTAAAAATTGCATCGCGATATGTCATTGGAGACCTGGTTAGCAGGTAATACGTAGTTCATTTTTAGTCTTCTGGAGAATCATTATTACTTCGTTATTAGAAGGGAAGTAGAACCCGTCGCAGTTTCAAATTAAATTTAGTAACAGTAACTAACTTTTAATCGAGTAGAATCTCGACAATTCATACTTATTCAATTTGTATTCACAATTTACTGTACATGATGTCAATATAACCGGGAAAAGTGCCACTTGACAATGCCACGCTCACTGTTCTCAATAAAGGAATCATTTGTAGAAAATTTGTCCAGTAAAAAGTTAACTCTCACTTGAATCTTTGAAACAAAAAAAAAACTGGAAAATGCATAACGACGGAGAATAATCATAAATGACAACAAAAACAACACTCATTTCTTATACTTTCAGTATAGCACACCCACACGTAAAAAGATAAAAATAACAACTATATAATTATATATATCTAACTAAAGAGAAGAATGATAGAGAACAAGATGAAAGACCGTGCATTTATCTATTTTCTAAATGCCGATCCTAACAGCGTGCATTTTTATAAATAGAATCAGCTAAATGCATTGCCATGGCAACAATGGTCAGGACAGGATTCCATGATCCACCAGTAGGCCACAATGCTCCCCCAGTAATATAGACATTATTCACGCATTGAATATGATAATCAAGGTCTACTGGTGCTTCAGTGTCTGTACTGTCTCCTATCCACATCGTTGAGGCATCATGAACAAGAAACTTCTTGCGTATCTGCTCTCGTGGAGGAGCATCTTGCCTCCAAGTTTTGTCAGTCTCATGCCAGTATTCAAGAGCATCACTGTTTTCGGTGGGTGAGAGTTTGCTCATCACCTTAAATGTTACACTGTCCATCAAGTCCCACAGTTTGTTGTCCTGATCATTAAGACAGAGTTTTAGTTCTCCATTGTCGATGAGAGACTGACAGTTTTTAATCAGATTAAATTGGTTACTCTTGTTCTTGTAGTCCAACTCTCCTAGTGTTGAGCATGACACCACAGCAAAATTTTGGGTTATATCGAGACATTCTCTAGGTATTGAATTGGCTGAATATTTCTTGCAAATACCATGAATACTGCTGCTATCTTTACATTGTGTATAGGTCACTCCAGATAATTGAAGGTGATATTGTGCCTTATCTTTCATGCCTGTAATGTATACTGCACCCAGCTCAACCTCAGGAGCATTTTCTGCAAGTGATAGGTATTGTCGGGGGACTCGAGCTACTACTGAACTAACAAAATGAGCTGTGAATCTCTTTCCGACATGAGAAATTTGAGGGAATTCAGTATTTTTGAAAGAGTTGAGCACTAGTGTAGTAGCTGGTAGTGTACTCATCGCTAATATAAGTTTGCTGTCATTGAGTGGTAAGGGGATTCCTTGGCTGGTTTGAAGAGCTGTTGCTTTTTTTCCATCATGCAAAATTTTTTCCACAGTACAATCAAAAATTACACTAACATTTTTCTTAGATAGTAACATTTCTGGAGTGGAAAATTTTATGAACCTAAGAAGGCAAAAAAAAGATGAATTTAATATTAACTTACAAAAATTCACACAAAATCCAAAAATCCTCGTGCAATTCTACTTCAAATCTATTACTCACCGATTGTTACCCATAGCAAGAGAACCATGAAGGACTTGTTCAACTGATTCTATGCTAGTAGCGCTATCCAAGCATGTTCTCAAGGAATTCTGAAATATATCATAGAGAAAATTACCATTTTCTTGTATATTCATTTGATTTGCATCAATGACGCCAAGAAATTCATGTGCCAGATCGAAATATGTTTCTAGCAATGAAGTCTTGAGATCTTCTGGCCATCCATCTAGTTCTTTGATTGAGGGTGTTGGACTCCATCCACTCCAATACGTAGACCTTCCGCCAAGCAACGGTATCTGACCATGCACGTTTTTAACGAATTCGTTCTGTATAGTTTCATTGGAGATAGTCCATGGTCTAGATTCCACTTCTCCTGGAGTGGAAGATGGAGGACACTGTTGATGATGTTCGGGTAGATACTTCAAGCCTCTCTCTAACACAATGATTTTTGCCTCAGGTTCGTTATGTAAAGTTCGATGAATGAAAGCCAGAGAACAAAACGAAGAACCGATCACAACGTAGTCATAATAATTACCAACTAAATCGGCAATAGTCTTAGCAGTATTAGGATGGATGCTAAAGAAGTCCTTGCCAATCTCGCGAAATGTTTGATCGAATCCTTCACGAACGAAAAAGACAGCGGAAGCTTTACAGCTGGGTTCGTTTTCGGCAAGTAGTTCAAGACTGAGCTTATTGCCTACAGCAGTAAGTGATAATCGAAACTGCAAGCGACAATCATCGTGTTTAACTTCCAGCGATTTCTTGTATGTTGATCCATTTTCTTGTGAGCTGTTGATAAGTTTGCTCTTCGTATTGAAAGTAAGGCACACAGAAGAAGCCGAATTAAACAATTTCCATGATGGGGAACCATATTCAACTGTCCACAGTGCAGTTTCCTTCGTTGGCTTGGTCGTGGTTTCAAGGATTAGTCCACCACGGTAAACCGCTACGAGACTGTTATTGTAATTGATGCAACGAAGAGATACACTGGATATTTGTGACATTCTAATAGTTCTGAAAATTACTATAATAACATGTAGCTATCGACTGTATCGATCGAAAAAATAAAATGTTCAACTATACCACTTAAGAGACCTATATTAAGTTTAAATCAAATCAATGTCTCACATATACGTATGATGACTCAAAGATTCAGATATTCCAACTTCGCTTTTGTCTACTGTCTGAAGAATAGATAAAACCCACAGCATTACGAAAAAAAGCAATGTAATCATGATTGACAGAGATATCAACTATCTTGAGACGTTGAGTGTTTTTCGATGAAAGGACGAATGGCGATAACGCCACTTTTCGGCCCAAAATATTTTCAAAAAATAACTATATGGAGATGATTAGGCCCATGTGGACTACAAATATCACAGGGTCATTTAGTTCAAAATTACTTCCGGGTTTTCAACCCCTGTACCCCCCTAGGGGGATTTGAAATTTTTTTTTTCAACGTTAACTTTTTAAAAGTTGTTACGAATGGTAAGTCAACTATGCTGATCACAAATATTGCCATCATATCTCCCCGAAGTGTAATGCTGAGTTGAATTTCAAGTTAGACCTACACTCGGATTTTAGGGGTCAATCTTGATTTTTGGCTACCCAATTTTATAAATTAATCTCCTAAACGTCTGAAAGAGTATCTGCTATATGTAATTTTATATACTTTATCAGAATCTGGTAGAACAAAACTAATAGGAAACTATTAGCACTTTGTAACTGCGAAACACGAGCAGAACTAGGCTAAGGTAAACAGAGGTTGCCCCATTCCAGCGCTCTTCTAATGCAGTGAACAGTTTGAACGGAGATCAGACTATATCTGTTCGATGCAGTTTTTCGAGCTCTATCTGAATCCGTCGTTTAACTGTGGAAAAATTGTGGGCATCACATCGAAAAATCTTCTATACTACCCAAAATACCTAATTTTTCTCAGTATTGGTCCCATTATTTGCCTTCGGGTCAGCATAAGGNGATTAATTTATAAAATTGGGTAGCCAAAAATCAAGATTGACCCCTAAAATCCGAGTGTAGGTCTAACTTGAAATTCAACTCAGCATTACACTTCGGGGAGATATGATGGCAATATTTGTGATCAGCATAGTTGACTTACCATTCGTAACAACTTTTAAAAAGTTAACGTTGAAAAAAAAAATTTCAAATCCCCCTAGGGGGGTACAGGGGTTGAAAACCCGGAAGTAATTTTGAACTAAATGACCCTGTGATATTTGTAGTCCACATGGGCCTAATCATCTCCATATAGTTATTTTTTGAAAATATTTTGGGCCGAAAAGTGGCCTTATCGCTATTCGTCCTTTAAACAACTACGACCGATTTTGACCTTGCTCAGAAGTCTCATTAGGTCGTTCAAGAAATTCTTCCTATATTCCGAATTTTGTGTGAATGTGACGGAGAGGGTGAGGGATAGGGGTGGATCGTTGATTTTATTTTGAGTTAATTAAGAGACTTAATTAAGCGGTTTTACTTAACACTTAATATGAATAGAAAAGCTTGTCAGCGCAGCCCCGTTGGGGCTAAAATGTGGAACTCACAAATTTCGGTCAGTTAGATACTGATCAAATAGAAGTTTTTTTTTTCAGTGTAGTGAGATCATATTTTATTCAAAAATAAGATAATAAAACCTTTTTAATATTTCAAGTTTATTGGATCTATCAATAGGAATTATTACTAGAGATAGAGAGCACATATATGATAAATTTTTGTGTTTAGAATGTGTCAGTATGCTGAAGTGTTTAGTGGTTTCATTGAGAAATATTGTGAATGATAATAGTTTAAACAGTATTTAGGATATAGCTATCAATATTGTTGAGAAATTTATATTTTTTAGTATTACCAGATGAGAAATTGATACAGTTTTTCATAAACAAAAATTTGATAAAAGATTCCTAGTGGATGGAAAAGTTGCGAATTTTAAATACACTAAAGTGGATTCAAGCTCTATATTAAGGTATTTGTATGAGAGAAAAAAGATTAAAATCTTCATCTGTTTATTATACTTGGTAGAAGTAACGAGTGTAATAGTAGCATGAACTAGTTGCTAGCTTTTGTAGCGAAAGAATACAGTCGTTGCGAACGTCTTTAATAATAAAAAAATATAATACTGTCGTAACTATGGGCTATAATAATAAAAATATGCGCTACTATCGTAACTATGGACTATAATAATAAAAACGACAGATTTTGATGATTAATTAGGGATTAAATCCTAATTATAACGATTTCTAATTAGTGAAACTAGATTTTTATTAGTGATGTGAGTAGTGGTGAACATAGGGAATCGATCTGTACAAAAATTTTATCTAATTAGTGGATCGAAGTGTTAGTTTTTTCATGTTTTGTGTCTGTAATGGGGAGGGGGGGGAGTGGGGTACAGGGGAGCCGCAAAAATCTCACTATTAAACTTACACGCACTATTTTCTTCGAAAATATATGTGAGTTCCACAAAAGTGTTTGCATTAGCCACTTAATCAGCTAATATTGAGTGTGAGCGCAATACTTGATTTTTAAAATTACGTCTTAAGGTTATCGCGTTAACTCTCCATTCTCTTAAAACTAAGTGGCTAGTAAGAAAAATATTCAATTTTAAAATGTGTGAAATAGTGATCATGGCTGTACAAAAATTTCGACTTATTTTTAGTATCCTGAGAATCAGTTTGCATGTCTGATTGTTTTTCTTTCCTTTGCAAAAAACAGAAAAGGAAAAAGGAAATTTTTCATTTTGATAGAAGCTAACAGTATCTGCATTATCGACTACAGCTGTAGTAAAACAATCAGTAGTTCTAATGAGTTTTTCTCTACTCATTATTTTCTCTTAAATTCAAGTTACTTCCTTACTGTTGATACTCCATATTGGTTTCTTTCATCATTGGGAAACGTTTTCTTTCTTCGCATGTTGTTGCATCAAACTACACGTAACTTTAGAAGTTTTCTCGTTCTTTCTTATCAAAAGAAAAAATATTAAACATTATCTCGATTGAGATCTCGAACAAATTTTTGATGTATGACAGCAAAAGAATGGATTTGAGAGAAATTTGTTATTGTATTGATTGTTTCAAATAAAATCTACTTGACTCTAATATATTTCGAGAATTATTTTTGGCTCGCGCTTTTGAATGATATTATGATGATGCATCAAATCCATACATACATAAATTCAATGTTTCAGCAACTGCTTGTAAGGCAGCTCTTCAATATTTTCTCTAGAAAAAAAACAATCGTCACATTCAGGGGCCCATAGGTTTTTAAAATCTTCGAGAAAGCGAATATTTTTTTCAAATTTGATTTTTACGATCTTTTTTGTGTACAGAGGTGTCCGATCTTGCCAATGATGAAAATTTTCACTCAATCGCTTACAGGGCTAATCCGTTTCTGTCGATTTTTTATCTATATGGAGAAGAAAATAAACATTGTTAAAAGATTTGGGATAGTTTGAAATTCACGCGTTTGTAAGAAACCTTGTTTGAGCCGGGTGAAAACAGTGATTTTAAGTGGTTCCGACAGCGCATAAGTTCCACTAATCTGGCTGAAAAATGAAAGAATATTTGGCAAATTTGGTAGTTTTTTAGAGTGAATCCTGGTCCAGAAGATGGACAATCTACGGTACAAGATATAATAAGGCTTATCTAATCGAGACGGTGAATTCCGAATATTCTGATGAAAATCCCTAAGCATTATCTTTCCTTTTTTGAACCGTGCATAGGTCTGACTTGCGCAATGTTTAGTTTTATGTGATGACAACCATAGATCGCTTGGCGCTTACGATCCGAAGCTACGCAACTTTTGTCAACACATTCTGTCGTAAAAACTACTTTTATTGCATTTCAACAACATTTGTCTTCTATTCTGCCCAAAGGAAGATTTGAGAGACAGAGGAAAAATCATAAATTATACGAACATTGATTATCATTATGTTATACTACGGAATTCATTTTCATCGACACTACGCTTTAATGTGTGCTTCATAGAACAAAATGAACTAAAAAACATCAATATTTAAACCTTAAAGTCGATGCCACTTCATCTACAAGGTATTTCTCTATGATATATCGATTGTTTATCTTATCTTCTTTCAATTAGTTAATGAATCAACATACAAAAAGATACTTCTGAACAAAAATAAAATGATCGTTATCTTTTAAAATATTTGTTGATAATACTAAGACGCATGTGATAGTATGGGTTATATATTTTTTATCGAAAATCTACAGTAAGCTCAACTTTTCTGGAACATACGTAAGAGTTGAAATCCACTGAGGTTCATGAAGTCGATATGGAGTCTCCTCAAGAAATATCGAAGAACATGTCAGATGAAGTGAATACAGCAAACGAAAGAAATGGTTAGTCTGGAGAGTGAGAAATAAGAAGAACGAGAGAGATAAAGCAAGAAAATAAAAGAAACACATTTGAAAATGAGAATACATCCTATTCCGCAATGTTGAACATTCCGGAATCAATTCCATCTAATTCCGGTGATTCCGTTTATCCCTTCCAACTCAATTCCGGAATTACACGGAATTCCTCGGGATTCCGTCTAATTCCCAACGATTCCGTTGTCACCTAATTCCAGAATTGGACTGAATTCCGTGCAATTCCTGGAATTGGACGAACTAATTCCGGAATAGGATGACTGCTCTTGAAAAGCTTGTTAGCGCAGCCCCTTTGGGGCTAAAATGTGGAACTCACATATATTCATTCGGCTTACTAAAATAGTTCAAAACAGTCCATCTGAAAAATCTACCTTGATTTCCAAAACCTATAATTAGGCCATTGCCTATTTGATCATATCTGTAATGGAATATTAATTGTTAGCTCGTATATTTAACAATGGCAGAGACTAATTTCTATGGTCTGTAATGGGAAAGCATTGCTTTTTTCTTGTCGTCTGTAATTAAAAAGGAAGAAATAGCAGACTAATTAGTCAAGCTCCTAATTAGCAAAATTGTAAGCTCATTAATGTCTGTAATCGTGGGGGGGGAGGAGC